AGATACTTCCACTGGTAAGATCATTTTTCACTGTGTGCCTCTATATTTTATCTGGCGGCAGCAAGATACTTCCACTGGTAAGATCATTTATCCACTGTATGCCTCTACATTTTATCTGGCGGCCGCAAGATACTTCCACTGGTGAGATCATTTTTTCACTCTGTGCCTCTACATTTTATCTGGCGGCCGCAAGATACTTCCACTGGTGAGATCATTTTTTCACTGTGTGCCTCTCTATTTTATCTGGCGGCCGCAAGGTACTTCCACTGGTGAGATCATTTTTCACTGTGTGCCTCTATATTTTATCTGGCGGCCGCAAGATACTTCCACTGGTGAGATCATTTTTCACTGTGTGCCTCTATATTTTATCTGGCGGCCGCAAGATACTTCCACTGGTGAGATCATTTTTCACTGTGTGCCTCTATATTTTATCTGGCGGCCGCAAGATACTTCCACTGGTAAGATCATTTATCCACTGTATGCCTCTACATTTTATCTGGCGGCCGCAAGATACTTCCACTGGTGAGATCATTTTTCCACTGTATGCCTCTACATTTTATCTGGCGGCCGCAAGATACTTCCACTGGTGAGATCATTTTTCACTGTGTGCCTCTATATTTTATCTGGCGGCCGCAAGATACTTCCACTGGTGAGATCATTTTTCACTGTGTGCCTCTATATTTTATCTGGCGGCCGCAAGATACTTCCACTGGTAAGATCATTTTTCACTGTGTGCCTCTATATTTTATCTGGCGGCCGCAAGATACTTCCACTGGTAAGATCATTTTTCACTGTGTGCCTTTATATTTTATCTGGCAGCCGCAAGATACTTCCACTGGTAAGATCATTTATCCACTGTATGCCTCTACATTTTATCTGGCGGCTGCAAGATACTTCCGCTGGTGAGATCTAATTCTCTTCTAATGGCTCACCAAGCAGGTGATACCTACTTTAGAATCAAAGCTCAATCTTACGGATACAATCTCCAACCTGACGTTTGCCAGGGCACTGATCTGGAAGTAATTCTGGCAAAATATAGAGGCTTACAGTGAAAAATGATCTCACCAGTGGCGGGTATGGGTCACCGTAGATAATGACAGTCCTATTATTACAGGTACCCTAATATTATTAAATTTGTTACACTGCTGTCAAACCCAAAAAGAAGAATCTTACAAAATGTTTTCATGTACATATATTATGCCTCTTTATACCGACATAACCTTATGAAAGAATAATCTTAGCTGCTTGGTATTAGGAAAGTAATGTACATTAAGTACATATTTATAGATATTTGCCATCTGAATAACTTACAAACAAAAGAGTTATAAATGGTATTAAACTATTAGGCTGTCATATGATATTGTGGGACGTGATATTAAAAATGGTTTAGTATAGTTATATGTATATGAAATGATATGATGTGACATGACAGGATGTGATATGATACGATAAGTGTTGTGGTGTGATATGATACATGAGGGGATATGATGCAATATGTTATGTTTATTATAGAAATTGTGTAAATACTGTTTTTTTAGTGTACATATTATTTGGCTTGCGGTCTTCCAGTGTTGAATAAATATTGATTGATTGATATTATATAAATTGGCATGGAATGACATGGCATTATATGGTATGATATGATAAGATATGATGGGACAAGCTATGAAATTGCTAATGTGTTGTGTGATATGACAGGCTGAAATGTGATATAATATAGGTGTGATATATGGTACGATGGTATGTATGGTATGTTATTGTATGATAATGGTATATAGAATATGTTGTAGGATATAACAAGTTGTGATATGGTAAAATAGAAATTATGAAATTACAGGGAATGGTATTGTACTGTACCATTATGTACCAGTATGTGTGAAATTTTGCGACTGTGTTGAGATGCGATGTAAAATGACGTGAGGTGATTTGGTGAAATATGTACATAAATTGTATAAAATTGTATATTCTTCAAATTGTTCTATAGGCCTGTGGCCTCTTCAGTAGGTGAAATAAAGATTGATGATGATTGATGACAGACCTAAACCTACAGGTGTGGTGCATACACACTATTCTGGTGTCTATAGAATGGACACTATGACATATTATGAGACTAAAACAAGTATGCATAACTTACTTACTTACTGTTGGATAGTTCACGTGCTCTTTCCTTCATAAGAAGAAAGACCCGTTTTATATCTGGTGCTAATAGAAAGCTAATAGAGCTGGTACCCCTATTCGTTACACGGATTTGTATTCATTTCTCACCGCTTCATGTTAAGCCACACTGAGCTACGTCCCATGACTGGAAAAAGACTCGTACTTTGCATTGGCCAAAGTACAAGCCAATCTGCATGTAAGCTGGTTCCCGGCTCCCTATGCGCGTCGTCAACTTGCAATTGTGACATTGGAGACGGGGCCCAGCTTAATCTGCCTGAGCTTGCGTCACGTAGCACCTGGAGAACCAGTTTTTGCCCTTGCCGTCGGGTGGCGCTTGTGTTATTTAGCGAGGCATGCTAGCGCTGTGGAGGAGCTTGCTTCCGTTGTCCTACCCAGAATGTGAGGAGCTTATAAACAGTTATATTTAGCACAGGTTTTTCCAGCTTCCTTGTAGAGGGTCTTGACTCTGGTTTCGTCCACACATTTCTCCATCATACAACACAGTAAGTAAGTGTCCACGGTGTTATGTTTGTTTGTATACCTCATTGTAACACTCTTCAATGTCTGGTTGAATTTGAGAACGAATGGGACAGTGTGTATTCTGACATAAGACTCCCAACTCGGCGTAGATGACTGAACTAAAACGAAACGAAACGAAACTAGTTTCAGTATTCTTGTTTATTACAGAATGACGAATAACAGCAGAAGATATAGAGGTCCAGTACTTGGACTGTTCTGAAGCATTGTTTGTAAGCAATAGTCGGTAACCCTGAACTTACTCGGGTGTACTTGGCTTATTCTGCGAGAGGAGTTTCTGCTCCAGTGGTCACATCTATAATACGGCGTGTGTAGGCTTATAACCTCAAACTTTTGTTTGGAAGCAAACGCACTTATTCTGAAATAAGAACAACCTGGTCAATGCAAGCCTTACGTATTGTTTTACATAATTATATCGACATCCTACAACCGCAACACTGCCAACTCCCCGACGCGCACGTGATCGCATCTCGTTTTATGTTTGCTCGTTTTCAAACAACAAAACAACAAAAAGACTCCTGTGAGTGTTATAAAGGCATGTAGCCGATTGTTAGACAATGATTGTAACTGTATTACATTGTTTCTGTTGAGATTCAGTAGAAGGTCATTGCTTTGTATTTGGACAATGTTTAGTTGTCAGGAATGTAATATTATGTATTCTAAGTAGTGGTGTTGAAGTTATTATATTTAATTATCTGTAAAATTCCCGAATAGGATGGATGTCAAGCGTTATTGAAACATGTAGAATATTATGTGATGTTCTAGTGACACTGGACTTGTCAAGCACTGTGTGGAATGTGCTGGAAGCTAGTTATATCACACATTATCTGACATTACATCAAGACCAGTTTCCATATGAACATCACTTTTCACCCTTGTGTTCAGCCTGAGCCTATCTCGGAAGCTTGATCACTGTTGCAGATAGGTGTACATTATTATCACCTCCATCATATTTTGCATTTGATACTGATATTGAATATTGTACTACTACTCTATTGCATACTATCATTGTAATTGCTGTGCAGTATTTTGTATTGGTTTGTAAACTTAGCAGTCAACTGACATGTACTAAGGAGAGATCAGATAAAAATCATTGCAATCTGTCTTTCTTTTATTGGATTGTCACTGGTCGCAGTTGGAGAAATCACAGCTAAGGGAATCAACCCAGGATATTATGTCATATTGTTCACGTGGTTACGAGAATGGCCAGTTGTAAATGTCTGCGCATCTATTGCACATCTGCAGCGGTACAGGGAGGTTAACAGCAGGGTGTCAGGGTGCATCAGTTACATGCCAGACCGTAGGGCTGATGGTTTATGATAAACTGTTGAGAGGGCGGTCCCTCTATTTTCGATAAATTGATAAAAGCATGTGTTACTATTTGTTTTGACTACAAAAATTGAGTGTGACACCTGAAAAAATAGAAAAAGAAATTTGCATAACTGAGGTGGTGCAGGTGGTCACGTGACACGTGCTGTTAAGACGATGGCTATAACTCGTTCAGTTGGTCGACGGGAAATTTTTTATTCTGTTATAACGCGACGATTGGGAATAAAAAAAGTGGAAAGTGGAAAGTGGCGATAACTGATCGGTGACTTATATGGTTAAGATGACGGCACATGCATGGAGGATAAATTCGCAAATGAAAATAATATTTCATGTTTTGGGATATATTCTTAATGAAATTGGAACAGTTCATGATATATCTTTTTCAAAATGAAACAGATGAATGGCCCAACTTTCATGTTTCAGTGTGAGGACATTGTTGCATCAAAGATACCGGTACTCCTCCAACATTTGCATAAAGGAACTTACATAACATTAATGAACCTTTAAATCAAGTAACGATTAATGCTTATTTTATAATCAACTGGTGAAGTTTTGACATGTAGACCCTTGTTCTTTGCGGGGAGTTTGTTTTGACAGTAAACCTTGTTTCTCCTTGATTAATATGACATGTAAACATGAAATGTATTTCTGAAACAGCACCTCACGAAATATAATGATGACATGTTTACGATCTGATTCCTATAATTGGCTCATGAGGTACAACGCTGTGTAAGCCTTAATATGTTGCTTCATATGCTTTTCTGAAATTCAAGTGAGCTTTAATATGTTGTGGCTATGGCGTCCAACGGCGCCTCAATCTGCCTCTGTGGGATCTTTTAAACACGACGGAGGCTATTTGGAGAAATGCTTTTTATGGTAATTATGTGGTCATTATCAAAATGTAATGAAATCTGGTAAATGTGTAATAAGTGGGGTTCAACATATGTGCTCCTTTTTACCTTGATTTTACCTTCTTACTTCGACCATACTGAAAGGTAACATTGTCGTGACTCCTTATCCAGGTGAGCTGCAGCGCTGTGGCGGAAAATGTAGGACTGTCCTGCAGACAGACGTTGTACACATTAGGCGGTTTTGTTGTAGGATGATGATGACGAATGTGGTGCCAACTTAGATTGAAGACCCTCATGAAAGACAGGAAGTAGTGAAGAATCTTCAAAGATAGAGATTAGAGTGGCTGAAGTTGTTGAATATGGCCGAGATGGAGAAAGGTCAAAGTGACACAGACAGTGAAGAATGTACACCAGCAAATTGCAGGAGGAAAAGCATTGATGAGGACAACCCGCCTGGAACCACTGATGGATCAGGCAGTACTGTGGAGGATGCAGGAAATAAAGATGTTGATGAAGAGAGTGCTGACGAATGTTTGTTTGGTGACATGACAGATGAAGAAGAGGGAGATGAAATCGAAGATATGTATCAACTTGGAGCATGTGCTACAAAGGTCAAATTCCAGACGGTTCAACAACAGTCGTACCAACTTGTAGGTAAAGGTATGTATGCTTACAGGAAGTAAGGCTAGGTAATGATGGCCTCTTGACAGCAACAAGTCTGATTGGTCAACAGGAGGGTTATAGAAGGGACATAACTCGTATTAGCCACTGGTGGCGCTAAGATTGAGCACAGTAATCGTAGCCCAGTACTGCAAAGTTGGAAACTGGACTTTAGAGTCAGTTAACTCCCTTTCCTCGGGAAGATGTACTCATACATGTGATATAACACTAATAGGCTGAAGTGGCATTAAATTATTTCGTCATAATTCAGGTGAGCCACAGAGCATTGTGGCTATACTGCCTCACAATAATGGAAACACAATATGAGTTATGAATAGCCATGTCAAGTAATCATCTTAATCAAAATCCATAGTTTACTCCCAGCCGCTCTTGCCATAATGTCATCGGAAGTTAAACTATGAATTGATCACATTTCTTTTCAAAAACTGTCCTCTAAATTTTCATTGCGATCCAACTGTAATCATCGCCAATTAGGAAACAACCAAAACAGTGTTTTATTGCAACATGCTGAGATATAAAGATGTCGGTCAGAACAGGCCATTGGCTGAGTAACCATAAGGTTTTCCTGAAACTAATCCGAATGGATAATAGCCATGTTTGTTCCCATCATAGACACCACGGCACTAGCACAACACATTGTGGGATATTGTCAGCAACCACAGGGAGAGGTAATGTCAGCACTACAGCAGGGGACACAACTCCAGCCAGCTTCAGCTGCTGATGTTGATCAGACAACAAGTCAGACACAGATGTCAACAACTACGTCTTGTGTAGTCCCCGAAACAACGATTGCACAAGTCCCGAGAACAGCAGCACTGACACCAGCATCCACATCCTCCCTTCCCAGAATACCAGGATCTATTGTATCAGAGATACAGTCATCAGGGCTACCTGGGGTACCAGTGCCTGTGGATTCTCCCGCAGGTGAGCGCTGTTACATGATACACACACATGACTAATGGTTCAGATTTCTAATACTTACAATAGGATAAGTACAAATGACACTTTTTAGGGAATATCCAGTGGCATCTATGCCTACATTTTTGGGCAGGGTGACTGTAACCGTATACAGCCTCAATACAATCTCACCCGGACTGATCAGAGAGTTGTAAGCTCTGCTCTATTTCAGGTTAGACATTTTAGAAAACGTAATGAGACCTTTAATGGAAATATAATGACTAATATGGAGTAGTATGCCTCTCCTCATGATCGTTGTCTATAGAGATATCTAGGTTCAAACATGGAAAACATCTGTGAGGGCTTCAGTCCCAGTTTCTGTTTCAGTTGTCCAGTACAACAATTTCTACGTACGGCAGAGTTTTGAGGATGTGACAGTCAGGGGCGCCAGGAATCTGAACTTTGGCGGAACCCAGAACATTAGAGGAACACAGGACGATGGTGCACCTCGAACCAACCAGGAAGAGGAGAAACCACTGACTGCAGCACAGAAGATCAGGAGTGAGTTATCTACTTACTTTCCTTAACTGTCTGATCTCGTTTAGAACAATAACTTACACAGAAATGAGAAATGCTGTGAGAAAACATGTTTCAGTTTGATCAGTTTGATAGATAATATTTTTAATATTTTGTGTTCGCAGGGCACGTGTCAACATAAGGATGCTCAGAGTCAAACCTTATTTGATGATGGCTACAATATGTTCCTTTAACTGAGAATAAATTATCATAATAATAAGATTGTTATCTTTATCATAGATTTTTTAATATAGTCAATTATGAAATTGTTTTACAGAAAGAACGGAATCCAGGATACAGTCGTGGACTAAAGACATGGTGGAGACAGAAGGCCTGCAGAAAGTGACAGACAAACTAGACAGAGGAGCAACATGGGTGACAATTAAAGGAAGACCAGGAGAGGGGAAGTCTACAATAGCCTACATGGCTCTCAAAGATCAGCACACTCAGGGGAGACAAGTGTATCAGGTGGTGTCGCCGGAGGAGTTCAATGAGGTCATAACGGCCAGCACTAACCCTGTCATTATGTTAGATGACATATTCGGTGATTTGGAATTTGATGTAGCAGAATGGGCCAAGTGGAGACCAAGTCTACAACCTGTTGTGGATGTGAAAGATCCTGATAAATATACAGAAAAAGATTCCATAGACAAGTCCACTAATATCAATAATGGTTTAAAGAGAACAAAAGATGAGCAAACAGAGCTGAAAAGAACGGCGCCTAACAAAGACCAAACTATCATAATCCTCGTAGGCCGTGACTATGTGCTGAAATCCTCACTGGCAGACTTGGGAAAGATGGCAGATTACATATCTAGTCCCCTGTATGTTGTGGAAGTTTCTTCTCAGAGAGACTCTTATGAACGAAGGAAGATTTGGCATGTTCATGTCAAAACAAAGACAAAGATGGACTTTGATGAGTCAACTGTGTCTCAGATATGTCAGGCTGACTGTCCACACGGCTTTCCCCATGTATGTAAACTGTTTGTCACGACATATGGAAAGGATCAGACTCAACTTTCAGCAGAGACTGTTTTAGATTTTTTTAAAATGCCTCTTGTGTTCCTCAAAAAGACTTTGGATAAATTTCTTAACGATAAGATAAAGCGTTCACTGTTCATGGCTATGATTAAAAGAGATGGGAAGATTAGTGGACAGGAGTTGGAGGAGGATGATAATCTTGCGTATGAAAGCATAACAGCTGCTGATGATTTGGTTGGATCTTATCTCAAGAAGGAAGATGACACATACATGTTTGACCATCCCTCTATATATGACTGTGTTGCTTTAATACTCAGTACAAAACAATCAAAGTTTGTCATCGAAAATTGTAGTTTGTCATTCATCCATCAGCGACTTCGTCTTAAACCATCCACAAGACAAAGGGAAAATGTTCCTAGTGAGACAGGTCTTGTTGCAAATATCTCATGGACCTTTGCTCGAGATTTAGCTAGAAGATTTGCAACTGAAATTGAGAGAAGCAATTTGTTGCATGTCTTATCGCACGAGGCATGTTGTAATTCAGAGTTTATTGACTTGCTCATGGACTGTCTGAAGACAAACTGTCACATGTCTGTTCCTGATCTTCTGAAACTAGCTGATAATTCTTCAAGACAATACGTTTTAACCGGCAAGTCACATTCATTTTTGAAATTGCTTTCAAGCAACAAGTCACATCATCTGATCAAATTTATTATGGAGAAAGAAAACATATCATTCAGCCAAAGTGAAATGCGTGACATTTTACTTGGGGTGTGCAAGAATGCTGCTTGTAGTGTATTGACCTACATCAGTGAACACATGAAGCTTGACATGGATGCTAGATATGGTCGGCATAATGTAACTCCGATCATGTTAGCAGCAGAAACCAAAAACAGTGAGTTTGTCGATCAGATTCTGGCCCTTGCCCCTGACCTGAATGCAAGCGATTGTGAAGGACAGACTGTCTTTCATTACCTTTGCAAGTATGGCCTTACATCAGCCGTGGAACAAGCGATTAACACGGGTGTGGATGTCAATGTGCATCGTGTAAATGGTGACCCTTTGTACCTTGCCATACAAAATGGTCACTTAGGGGTGGTGAGACTGCTGGTGAAAACAGGATTTGATCTGGATAACCAGAAAGGTCTTAGATTTGCTTCCATGAGCCAGAACAAGGACATGGTAGACTTTCTTTTAGACAGAGGAGCACAGGTTGATGGTGATGCTGTAAACAGTGCTTGTGAGGTGGGGAACTTGACTATGGTCAAAATGTTATTTGAGAAGGGTGCTACTGTTAACATGATGTCATCTAATGGAGACACTCCACTTCACAGCTCATGTAGACAACACTCAGATGTTATGTCATTTCTGCTGGCCAAAGGAGCAAGTGTGAATCAACTTTCATCTGATACAGGTGACTCACCACTTCATACAGCAGCACATCAGGGATATACAGTGTATGTCAATGTGTTACTGAAGGCAGGATCTCATGTGAATGTACAGAATAATACAGGTGACACACCACTTCATAGTAGTGCAGCAGCATTCTTTGGATCTGCAGCGTGTTTTGGAGTGTTACTGAAGGCTGGGGCTAATGTGAATGTACAGAATAATACAGGTGACACACCACTTCATTCAGCAGCAGCAGCAGCAGCAGAAAAATGGTTTGTGTCTACAGAGTATATTGAAGTGTTACTGAAGGCTGGGGCTAATGTGAATGTACAGAATAAGACAGGTGACACACCACTTCATTCAGCAGCAGCAGCAGATTGCGCGTTTAAACCTACAGAGTGTATTAAATTGTTACTGAAGGCTGGGGCTGATGTGAATGTACAGAATAATACAGGTGACACACCACTTCATTCAGCAGCAGCAGCAGAAAACGCGTTTGAACCTACAGAGTTTATTAAAGTGTTACTGAAGGCTGGGGCTGATGTGAATGTACAGAATAATACAGGTGACACACCACTTCATACAACAGCAGCAGTGAGGGGATTTACAGATCGTATTGAAGTGTTACTGAAGGCTGGGGCTGATGTGAATGTACAGAATAAAACAGGTGACACGCCACTTCATACAGCAGCAGCAGCAGAAAAAACGTTTAAACCTACAGAGTATATTAAAGTGTTACTGAAGGCTGGGGCTGATGTGAATGTACAGAATAATACAGGTGACACGCCACTTCATAGAGCAGCAGTGAGGGGATCTACAGAGTGGATGAAAGTGTTACTGAAGGCTGGGGCTGATTTGAATATACAGAATAATACAGGTGACACACCACTTCATACAGCAGCAGTGAGGGGATCTACAGAGTGGATTAAAGTGTTACTGAAGGCTGGGGCTGATGTGAATGTACAGAATAATACAGGTGACACACCACTTCATACAGCAGCGTTGTTTGGATCTAAAGAGTGTATTGAAGTGTTACTGAAGGCTGGGGCTGATGTGAATGTACAGAATAATACAGGTGACACACCACTTCATACAGCAGCAGTGAGGGGAATTACAGAGTGTACTGAAGTGTTACTGAAGGCTGGGGCTGATGTGAATGTACAGAATAAGACAGGTGACACACCACTTCATAGTAGTGCAGGAGCATTGTTTGGTTCTGAAGAGTGCGTTGAAGAGTTACTGAAGGCTGGGGCTGATGTGAATGTACAGAATAATACAGGTGACACACCACTTCATTCAGCAGCAGCAGCAGACAAATTGTTTGTATCTACAGAGTGTGTTGAAGTGTTACTGAAGGCTGGGGCTGATGTGAATGTACAGAATAATACAGGTGACACACCACTTCATACAGCAGCAGCAGCAGCAGCAGCAGGAAAGTTGTTTGTGTCTACAGAGCGTATTGAAGTGTTACTGAAGGCTGGGGCTGATGTGAATGTACATAATAATACAGGTGACACACCACTTCATACAGCAGCAGCAGCAGCAGCAGCAGCAGAAAAAACGTTTAAACCTACAGAGTGTATTAAAGTGTTACTGAAGGCTGGGGCTGATGTGAATGTACAGAATAATACAGGTGACACACCACTTCATACAGCAGCAGTGAGGGGATCTACAGAGTGTATTCAAGTGCTACTGAAGGCAGGAGCTGATGTGAATGTACAGAATAAGACAGGTGACACAACACTTCATAGTAGTGCAGAAGCATTGTTTGGATCTGCAGAGTGTGTTGAAGTGTTACTGAAGGCTGGGGCTGATGTGAATGAACAGAATAATACAGGTGACACACCACTTCATAAAGCAGCAGTGAGGGGAACTACAGGGTTTATTAAAGTGTTACTGAAGGCTGGGGCTGATGTGAATGTACAGAATAAGACAGGTGACACACCACTTCATAGTAGTGCAGCAGCATCGTTTGGATCTGCAGAGTGTATTAACGTGTTTCTGAAGGCAGGAGCTGATGTGAATGTACAGAATAAGACAGGTGACACACCACTTCATAGTAGTGCAGCAGTGAGGGGATCTGCAGAGTGTGTTGAAGTGTTACTGAAGGCTGGGGCTGATGTGAATGTACAGAATAAGACAGGTGACACACCGCTTTATAGTAGTGCAGCAGCATCGTTTGGATCTGCAGAGTGTATTAAAGTGTTTCTGAAGGCAGGAGCTGATGTGAATGTACAGAATAATACCGGTGACACACCACTTCATAGTAGTGCAGCAGTGAGGGGATCTGCAGAGTGTGTTGAAGTGTTACTGAAGGCTGGGGCTGATGTGAATGTACAGAATAATACAGGTGATACACCACTTCATAGTAGCGCAGCAGCATTGTTTGGATCTGCAGAGTGTGTTGAAGTGTTACTGAAGGCTGGGGCTGATGTGAATGTACAAAATAATAAAGGTGACACACCACTTCATAGTAGTGCAGGAGCATTGTTTGGATCTTCGGATTGTGTTGAAGTGCTACTGAAGGCTGGGTCTGATGTGAATGTACAGAATAATACAGGTGACACACCACTTCATAGTAGTGCAGCAGCATCGTTTGGATCTGCAGAGTGTGTTGAAGTGTTACTGAAGGCTGGGGCTGATGTGAATGTACAGAATAATACAGGTGACACACCACTTCATTCAGCAGCCGCAGCAGAAAAATTGTTTGTGTCTACAGAGCGTATTGAAGTGTTACTGAAGGCTGGGGCTGATGTGAATGTACAGAATAATACAGGTGACACACCACTTCATAGTAGTGCAGCAGCATCGTTTGGATCTGCAGAGAGCATTGAAGTGTTACTGAAGGCTGGGGCTGATGTGAATGTACAGAATAATACAGGTGACACACCACTTCATACAGCAGCCGCAGCAGTAAAAGCGTTTAAACCTACAGAGTGTATTAAAGTGTTACTGAAGGCTGGGGCTGATGTGAATGTACAGAATAAGACAGGTGACACACCACTTCATAGTAGTGCAGCAGCATCGTTTGGTTCTGCAGAGTGCATTGAAGTGTTACTGAAGGCTGGGGCTGATGTGAATGTACAGAATAATACAGGTGACACACCACTTCATACAGCAGCAGCAGCAGCAGTAAAAGCGTTTAAACCTACAGAGTGTATTAAAGTGTTACTGAAGGCTGGGGCTGATGTGAATGTACAGAATAAGACAGGTGACACACCACTTCATACAGCAGCAGCGAGGGGATCTACAGAGTCTATTAAAGTGTTACTGAAGGCTGGGGCTGATGTGAATGTACAGAATAATACAGGTGACACACCACTTCATAGTAGTGCAGCAGCATTGTTTGGATCTGCAGAGTGTGTTGAAGTGTTACTGAAGGCTGGGGCTGATGTGAATGTACAGAATAATACAGGTGACACACCACTTCATACAGCAGCAGTGAGGGGATCTACAGAGTGTATTAAAGTGTTACTGAAGGCTGGGGCTGATGTGAATGTACAGAATAAGACAGGTGACACACCACTTCATACAGCAGCAGCGAGGGGATCTACAGAGTGTATTAAAGTGTTACTGAAGGCTGGAGCTGATGTGAATGTACAGAATAATACAGGTGACACGCCACTTCATAGAGCAGCAGTGAGGGGATATACAGTGTGTGTCGATGTGTTACTGAAGGCTGGGGCTGATGTGAATGTACAGAATAATACAGGTGACACATCACTTCATAGTAGAGCAGCAGCATTGTTTGGATCTACAGAGTGTTTTGAAGTGTTACTGAAGGCTGGGGCTGATGTGAATGTACAGAATAATACAGGTGACACACCACTTCATACAGCAGCAGCAGCAGCAAAATGGTTTAAACCTACAGAGTGTATTGAAGTGTTACTGAAGGCTGGGGCTGATGTGAATGTACAGAATAATACAGGTGACACACCACTTCATACAGCAGCAGTGAGGGGATTTACAGAGTGTATTAAAGTGTTACTGAAGGTTGGGGCTGATGTGAATGTACAGAATAAGACAGGTGACACAGCACTGCATACAGCTTCATGTGTAGGATCTACAGATTGTATTGAAGTATTACTGAAGGCTGAAGCTGACGTGTTACACACCACTTCGTAAAACAGCATAGCAGGGATGTGCAGAGTGTGTTGGGTGAAGATCTTATTCCATGTCATAGTTACCCATGCATTACACACTGGTAAATACGTCTCAGATTTCATCAGTATATATATAGTTATGGGCGTGGCAAAGTAGCCTGGTCGGTAAGGTTTCTGCTCCTGTGGACTGGGTTTGACTTCCTGGAAAGTTTACCCACATAATTAGAGTTGAAGCATTGACAAATCGTACCCACTCACTCTCTTACTCCACATCCTGTACCTGTCAAATAGTCATTTTGTTTTGGCTATGTTTACATCATTCTGTGGTTTGTAAATCGCTCTCTCTCCCCCTAGCCGATAACCACCTACCCACGAACCCTCAAATTTCTATTTATGCAAGTACTTGATCACCTTACGTTCGTTGAGTTTGTCCATTTTCCAAAAGTCACAGATTGGTCCTTATTTTACCGAGTTGTCAAAGGGAAAGAACTTCCCTAGCTGACTCAAGTTTTTGTGGACATACACCAACGACATCATGTCTACGACAAAGGATTTCTCTGCTTCTAAGTTCCGACTGTGAGGCTAAGAACTTGTCAATTAACCCCTGTAGGACTGAAAAAAAAATACATTGACTCACCGGTGTAATGTACAGAATATAGTGTGAATGTAGTGCAGTTGCAACCTTCAACATGTTCGTCTAGCTTCTATAGACTCCCTGGTGTAATGTACAGACTATAGTGTGAATGTAGTGTAGTTGCAACCTTCAACATATCCGTCTAGCTTCTATAGACTCCCTGGTGTAATGTATAGACTATAGTGTGAATGTAGTGTAGTTGCAACCTAGTTGCAACCTTAAGTATGTTCGTCTAGCTTCTATAGACTCACTGGTGTAATGTACAGAATATAGTGTGAATGTAGTGTAGTTGCAGTCTAGTTGCAACCTTCAACATGTTCGTCTAGCTTCTATAGACTCCCTGGTGTAACGTACAGACTATAGTGTGAATGTAGTGTAGTTGCAACCTTCAGCATGTCCGTCTAGCTTCTATCGACAACATGGTGTAATGTACAGAATCTAGTGTGAATGTAGTGTAGTTGCAACCTTCAACATGTTCGTCTAGCTTCTATAGACTCCCTGGTGTAATGTACAGACTATAGTGTGAATGTAGTGTAGTTGCAACCTTCAACATGTCCGTCTAGCTTCTATAGACTCCCTGGTGTAATGTACAGAATATAGTGTGAATGTAGTGTAGTTGCAACCTTCAACATGTTCGTCTAGCTTCTATAGACTCCCTGGTGTAATGTACAGACTTTAGTGTGAATGAAGTGTAGTTGCAATCTTCAACATGTTCATCTAGCTTCTATAGACTCAATGGTGTAATGTACAGAATATAGTGTGAATGTAGTGTAGTTGCAGTCTAGTTGCAACCTTCAACATGTTCGACTAGCTTCTATAGACTCCCTGGTGTAATGTACAGAATATAGATTGAATGTCGTGTAGTTGCAACCTTCAACATGTTCGTCTAGCTTCTATAGACTCACTGGTGTAATGTACAGAATATAGTGTGAATGTAGTGTAGTTGCAACCTTCAACATGTCCGTCTAGCTTCTATAGACACCCTGATGTAATGTACAGAATATACTGTGAATGTAGTGTAGTTGCAACCTTCAACATGTTCGTCTAGCTTCTATAGACTCCCGGGTGTAATGTACAGAATATAGTGTGAATGTAGTGTAGTTGCAACCTTCAGCATGTCCGTCTAGCTTCTATCGACAACCTGTTGTAATGTACAGAATCTAGTGTGAATGTAGTGTAGTTGCAACCTTCAACGTGTCCGTCTAGCTTCTATAGACTCCCTGGTGTAATGTACAGAATATAGTGTGAATGTAGTGTAGTTGCAACCTTCAACATGTTCGTCTAGCTTCTATAGACTCCCTGGTGTAATGTACAGAATATAGTGTGAATGTAGTGTAGTTGCAACCTTCAACATGTTCGTCTAGCTTCTATAGACTCCCTGGTGTAATGTACAGACTTTAGTGTGAATGTAGTGTAGTTGCAATCTTCAACATGTTCATCTAGCTTCTATAGACTCCCGGATGTAATGTACAGAATATACTCTGAATGTTGTGTAGTTGCAACCTTCAACATGTTCGTCTAGCTTGTTTAGACTCCCTGGTGTAATGTACAGAATATAGTGTGAATATAGTGTAGTTGAAAACCTTCAACATGTTCGACTAGCTTCTATAGACTCCCTGGTGTAATGTACAGAATATGGATTGAATGTCGTGTAGTTGCAACCTTTAACATGTTCGTCTAGCTTCTATATACTCACTGGTGTAATGTACAGAATATAGTGTGAATGTCGTGTAGTTGCAACCTTCAACATGTTCGTCTAGCTTCTATAGACACCCTGATGTAATGTACATAATATACTGTGAATGTAGTGTAGTTGCAACCTTCAACATGTTCGTCTAGCTTCTATAGACTCCCGGGTGTAATGTACAGACTATAGTGTGAATGTAGTGTAGTTGCACCCTTCAGCATGTCCGTCTAGCTTCTATCGACAACATGGTGTAATGTACAGAATCTAGTGTGAATGTAGTGTAGTTGCAACCTTCAACATGTTCGTCTAGCTTCTATAGACTCCCGGGTGTAATGTACAGAATATAGTGTGAATGTAGTGTAGTTGCAACCTTCAACATGTTCGTCTAGCTTCTATAGACTCCCTGGTGTAATGTGCAGAATCTAGTGTGAATGTAGTGTAGTTGCAACCTTCAACATGTCCGTCTAGCTTCTATAGACTCCCTGGTGTAATGTACAGAATATAGTGTGAATGTAGTGTAGTTGCAACCTTCAACATGTCCGTCTAGCTTCTATAGACTCCCTGGTGTAACGTACAGAATATAGTGTGAATGTCGTGTAGTTGCAACCTTCAACATGTTCGTCTAGCTTCTATAGACTCCCTGGTGTAATGTACAGACTTTAGTGTGAATGTAGTGTAGTTGCAATCTTCAACATGTTCATCTAGCTTCTATAGACTCCCGGATGTAATGTACAGAATATACTCTGAATGTTGTGTAGTTGCAACCTTCAACATGTTCGTCTAGCTTGTTTAACCTCCCTGGTGTAATGTACAGAATATAGTGTGAATATAGTGTAGTTGAAAACCTTCAACATGTCCGTCTAGCTTCTCTTGACTCCCTGGTGTAGTGTACAGACTTTTGTGTGAATGTAGTGTAGTTGCAACCTTCAACATGTTCGTCTAGCTTCTATAGACTCCCTGGTGTAATGTACGGAATATAGTGTGAATGTAGTGCAGTTGCAACCTTCAACAAGTTCGTCTAGCTTCTATAGACTCCCTGGTGTAATGTACAGAATATAGTGTGAATGTAGTGTAGTTGCAACCTTCAACATGTCCGTCTAGCTTCTATAGACTCCCTGGTGTAATGTACAGAATATATTGTGAATGTAGTGCTGTGTAGTTGCAAACTTCAACATGTTCGTCTAGCTTCTATAGACTCCCTGATGTAATGTACAGAATATAGTGTGAATGTTGTGTAGTTGCAACCTTCGACATGTTCGTCTAGCTTCTATAGACTCCCTGGTGTAATGTACAGACTATAGTGTGAATATAGTGTAGTTACAACCTTCAACATGTTCGTCTAGCTTCTATAGCAGCAGTGATGGGATCTACAAACTGTGTTGAAGTGTTACTGAAGGCCGGGGCTGATGTGAATGTACAGAATAATACAGGTGACACACCACTTCATAAGCAGCAGTGAGGGGATCTACAGATCTACTTCAACACTTTCGTCTAGCTTCTACAGACTCCCTGGTGTAATGTACAGACTATAGTGTGAATGTAGTGTAGTTGCAACCTTCAACATGTTCGTCTTGCTAATAGACACTCTGTAGTAATGTACAGGAATATAGTGTTTCACAAACCTACATGATTGGTGCATGCAATCGGGTACTTGTTATTACCCTGTCTGGCGCTTGGCATAAAAGGGGCGAATACAAGGACTGGTCGGCTCAGAGTCAGTTTACTGTCTGAGTAGGGTATTCATGTTAAACTGCGGCATGGTATCTCAGTGAGCTAGCACTATAAATCGGCATCAGTCCGCACTAGTGCATGCAGCCACACGCACACAGACACACACCTGCATGTAAGTTGCTATATATATAAGTGGAACAATCTTGTACGCGACCTTAAGACCCTATTTCACCTCAACTTTAAGTCATTAATTTATGACTAACGGGATCGGGTGGTCAGGCCCGCTGACTTGGTTGATGCATGTCATCGATCCCAATTGCGTGGATCGATGCTCATGATGTCAATCACTGGATTGTCTGGTCCAGACTCGATTATTTAGAGACCGCAGACATATTGCTGAGTGCGGCGTTAAAAAAACAACAACAAAACAAACAATCATTATTAACAAATTCGGAAATACCTCCCCTCACGTTTATCATGTCGGCCATTTATTCGTATTTTATTTGATGCTAATGTATTACGACGCGCTGTCCTCGTGAATGACCTACTGAAGTAGATTCTAACAGACCTTTCTCATCCAATGATGATATCATTTGAATACATTTGTGGTAAACAAACTACAACAGATGTCTTCTCTCAGTGGCATTTAGAAGTTGGTGTGATGTTTCGGTGTAGATCCTAAGCAAGCAAGTGATAAAGGTGTTAGGATCTACACCGAAACGTCGCACTAATTGTAATAAAGAAGTTGTTCATCCATAGAACTCGTCTTACTTCATCACACCAACTTCCAATTGATCACTTCCTGAATGCTGCTGGTTGAATGACTGTCAGTGTAAAGATTTAGTCACATGTATTAAATAGGATTGTGTATAGATCTAGGTCTACATCCTTTGAGGTAAAATAATAATGATGTAATGAAAATCATACTAATTGACGTTCACTTTGTGTGAGTTCATTGTAGTCTGAATCTTCATAGAGTGAGGGCCAAACATTGTAAGTCAATTCTTAATTAACTTGCGCGGTTCAAAGCGTTCATACTCCAGTAAACCAACACAGTATGAACATCGTTTTTTAAATATTATTAGTCCGCCAATATCATTATCAAATGACGTCACGATCACGTACAGTAAACTAATGTTATAACGAACTCAAAGGGACCGCTAATTTTAGTTCGTAATAACCATAGTTCGTAATAAGCATATATACAGCATATATGCAACTTATGGCCTGGACTGAAACATAAGTTCGTTATATCGGTCAGTTCGTTATAAGCGTGTTCGTTATAAACAAAGTTTACTGTATTGTTCATCTGAAAGATAATACCGTTGTTCACAGTCACCAAAGAAACTAGCTCTTGAGACAAAATATAATTTTTTATATTTATTGGATTTTAATTTAAGTGTTATTGCAGTAAAATGATGTGTCGTATTTGATCAGTAAACAAGATAAAGAAACCATGCGACACGATTCCAGATTGTTTATGATGGAAATAAATAAGGGAGCACTTAGTGTCGGACGCTGTAAAATGATATTCCATCATGGGTTCCCAGCCTCGTCTATCAAATACGCGTTGGATACAATGCATACAAACACATCTCAACATTTGATTCTGACATGTGTTGAAATGAATGCGCGCTATTACTGGCAGCTAAGCTTATTTCCCTATATTTGTCAGTGCTCCCTTTATCGTGTCCATCAGTACAAACTAAATTCAAACGAAACTTGCAAAGGCCATCTTATTTACACATTTAGATGCTGTTACTGAAAATCATGGTTAACTGCTAATATTTAAAAAAACACTTCGCGATTTTACAGAAGTATATATATATATATATATATATATATATATATATATATAGAGAGAGAGAGAGAGAGAGAGAGAGACAGAGAGAGAGAGAGAGAGAGAGAGAGAGAGACAGAGAGAGAGAGAGAGAGAGAGACAGAGAGAGAGAGAGAGAGAGAGAGCGAGAGAGAGAGAGACAGAGAGAGAGAGAGAGAGAGAGACAGAGAGAGAGAGAGAGAGAGAGAGAGAGAGAGAGAGAGAGACAGAGAGAGAGAGAGAGAGAGAGAGCGAGAGAGAGAGGGGAGAGAGAGAGAGAGAGGGAGAGAGAGAGAGAGCGAGAGAGAGAGAGAGAGAGAGACAGAGAGAGGGAGAGAGAGAGAGAGAGCGAGAGAGAGAGAGAGAGAGAGAGAGAGAGAGAGGTGTTTATTCTGTCAAAAGTACAAACACAATGCCAAACTTTAGCATCTAGTTTTGAACAGTACACAGGTAAATGTATGAAGCTTACATACAAGTTCTTACAAGGGACATAACTCAACATCATTATTACATTTTGAACACATTGTAAATAACAACAAAAAGATAGTTATAGTAAGTAAACAGCAACACCTGTGTGCTTACTTCGCATCTAAGATTTTATAATATTTACATGGTCGTGTTTACATTCATACATTTTACTCGACCACCCAACAGGGACGAACGGTTCATCGTCAACTAAGCTCAATGGTTGTGTTTGCAACGTTATATCAACGTTGGTCCAACATTGTCAGGCCAAAGCCAACCATTCACCAACGTTGCTCCAATACTACCGAAGAAGTCAAAACAGGAAATAGTCATGATAGGAAATAGTCAAAATAGGAAATAGTCATAATAGGAAATAGTCAAAATAGGAACTAGTCATAATAGGAAATAGTCAAAATAGGAAAAAGTCATAAGTGGAATTAGTCAAAATAGGAAATAGTCATAAGTGGAATTAGTCAAAACAGGAAATAGTCATAATAGGAAATAGTCAAAAAAGGGAAATAGTCATAAGTGGAATTAGTCATAATAGGAAATAGTCAAGATAAGATATAGTCATAATTGGAACAAATCTAAATGGGTAAAGGTCAAGGTGGAAAATAGTCTTAATGTGAAAAAATCATAGTGGAAAATAGTTACAACGTAAATAGTCTCAATGGATAAAAGTCTTAATAGGAAAAAGTCTTAATAGGAAAAAGTCTTAAAAGGAAAAAGTCTTAATAGGAAATAGTTTCATGGAAGATAGTCTTAATGGGAAAAAGTTCCGTGGAAGATAGTCTTAAAGGGGCCTCACTTTTCTACGGGGCCGCACTTTTCCATGGGGTCACTTTTCCATGGGGCCTCACTTTTCTACGGTGCCTCACTTTTCAATCGGGTCACTTTTCCATGGGGCCTCACTTTTCTACGGGGCCTCACTTTTCGATGGGGCCTCACTTTTCTAGGGGGCCTCACTTTTCAATGGGGTCACTTTTCCATGGGGCCTCACTTTTCTACGGGGCCTTACTTTTCAATGGGGTCACTTTTCAACGTTACATTCCCCTTGAAACTGCTAGTTTAAGTTAGTAAGTGTTGAAACATTTCGATAACATTTCCTGAGATGGGAAAGGCAAGTTGTGATGAGAAACTTGCACGTGCCAAATTAATAAGCTGCCGCCGTTGCACGTGCAAATGCTGACTATATCGCACACGCTCGCACACGCTCGCTCACGCAGGGGCGAGTTGGATTCGACTACTCTCTGTCAAATGTGGACTCCCCCCAACCCCCTCCCTACAGTGTTATGATTTGTTTGTTTCTTGTTTGAGGGCAATATTTTTATCAGCAATTATCGAGCTATATGACGGCGGTCTGTAAATAATCGAGTCATTGACATCGTGAGTGAGTGAGTGAGTTAGTGAGTTAGTGAGTTAGTGAGTTGGGTTTAACGCCGCTTTTAATTGACATCATGAGCATCAATCTACGCACTTTGGATGCAATGACTAGCATCAACTAAGTCACAGAGCTGTGCTATGACTTTCAAAATGTTAAAAGCGGCATCAAAACAACGCCCCCCCCCCCCCTATTTTTTGGTCGGTGGGGTAGCCTAGTGGTTAAAGTGTTCGCTCATCACGCTGATGGCCCGAGTTCGATTCCCAAAATGAGTACAATGTGTGAAGCCCATTTCTGGTGACCCCCGTCATGATATTGCTGGAATATTGCTAAAAGCGGCGTAAAAACCATACTTACTCACCACTCACAATTTAGTTCAATAACGGTAAAAAACCGTTATTTATCTCACTGATCAAATTGGTTATTGGTTTTCTTAGTCTTCTGCAAGTACGACGTTAAAATGGTCCTCGTATTGCTAAACCCAAGCACTTGTCATGCACCGGAGTCTAACGGTGAGACATACCCATCACCGAGTCTTCCTGACGGTTGCCTCAGATCAGTTGAGGTATGTTAAGTTTCTTTATCAAGCAGCGGTCGGGTAGCCTAATGGTTATAGCGTTCGCTCGTCACGCCGAAGACCCGGGTTCGATTCCCGACATGGGTACAATGTGTGAAACCCATTTCTGGTGTCCCCCCCGCCGTGATATTGCTGGAATATTGCTAAAAGCGGCGTAAAACCATACTCACTGACACTTCTTAAGCGTAAAAAGACATCCCAACGATACCGCACTGGGCCGGCAGTGACTCATAACGACCAATAATGACTAGACCTGCTTTGCGTAATATGAACAAACACTTTCTGTCACGCTCCACGAAAATTGCTAAAAATAACCCCCAAATCGGAGCGATGAGAGATACCCGTCACGACATACCAACAGTAAGATATGCTATACTAATACCGTTCTTCTGACATCATGTGACCACGTGACGACGGCTGACCTGATTAAGTGGGTGTGTCATGTGATACGTCGAGACGCTATCAGCGTGTGTCGTGGAGTCGTGAGAAGACAGGTAAACTACACACCTAACACTGACAAGGAGCGTTACACATATACACCGGACATTAATATACAGCTGTAGGTAAGTGTACCTGTATTACAATCAACGTTATGTCCAGTTATGCTTAATGTCAGTGTCAGCTGTCCCGGGTATGCTTGGGGGTGGTCATTCGAGGGAAGGGTGTCCCTCACGGCTCTCGCGCCTCATCGGTGTGTGGGTAGGTTCATTGTATATACCTGTACATACACCGCGAACAAATATGACATGTGTCTCGAAGAATTGTTTCAATCGAATCGATTTCTTAAACATTTAATAATGATATTGATTCCGTTATCTCGATGCTCTGGTTATGTCGAAGTGTCGTTCGAGGCACCTGCACCAGGTAAGTTGGATGTTTCGAGGGTTTGACGTACCAGTTGAAGATCACGGGGCATGTGTATTGAATACAATCGACAATACATTGCGATGACAGGAAAAAAGTCACATATGAATACGAGTCGAATATTGTGTTTGTGTCTTAGTCATTCGCGTCACCAGATCCAACCCGGATATCGTCCTCGTGGAATGACGCACCCGAGACATTAGGTCAACGCTGTTGGTGTTTATGAACGTATTTAGCTATGTACCACTCAGTATCAGTATCAGTCATGTACCACTCAGTATCAGTATCAGCCATGTACCATTCAGTATCAGTATCAGCCATGTACAACCCAGTATCAGTATCAGCCATGTACCATTCAGTATCAGTATCAGCCATGTACAACTCAGTATCAGTATCAGCCATGTACCACTCAGTATCAGTATCAGCCATGTACCACTCAGTATCAGTATCAGCCATGTACCACTCAGTATCAGTATCAGCCATGTACCACTCAGTATCAGTATCAGCCATTTACCACTCAGTATCAGTATCAGCCATTTACCACCCAGTATCAGTATCAACTATGTACCACTCAGTATCAGTATCAGCCATGTACCACTCAGTATCAGTATATCATGCTCCCCTCGGTATCAATATATCGTGCACCCCTCGGTATCAATATATCATGCACGCCTCGGTATCAATATATCATGCACCATCGGTATTATTATATCATGCTCCTCTCGGTATCAATATATCATGCACCCCTCGGTATCAATATATCATGCACCCCTCGGTATCAATACATCTTGCACCCCTCGGTATCAATATATCATGCTCCCCTCGGTATGAATATATCATGCACCCCCTGGTGTCAGTATATCATGCACGCTTTTTATCCATGTATCACGCACCTTCAGTATCATTATTACCAATGCACCCTGCAGTAACATCAACCCACTACTTCATCCTATAGTATCTCCTGAACCAGGTAGTGAGCGTTACGACTGTGAGTTAGTTCTCCTCCAGGTGATAGGAGCGGAGTTTGACATTACATTACAGGTAATTAGCTAAGTGTGAGACTGACACCTCTGCTTCCCTGGCTCAAGGCAATACCGCGAGGCATACAGATGGGGCCAAGTCAACAAGTGCCCGGAGCACGCATAGGAGATGTATGACTAGTTTAAATGCACGAAGCTTCTTGACCAACAATTGCATGTTAGTTGACCTCGCATGAGACACCCCTCAGATATCAAGACCGCCTCCGTGGTCTAATGGTAGAGCGTCCGCCCGGAGAGCGGAAGGTCCGGGATTCGATCCCCAGCCGCATCATACCAAAAGACGTTAAAAGATGGTACTTGTCGTTACCCTGTCTGGCGCTCGGCAGTAAGGGCTAAAACAAGGACTGGTCGGCTCGGAGTCAGTATACTGTGTCTGAGTAAGGTGTTCATGTTAAACTGCGGCATGGTATCTCAGTGTTCTAGCACCATAAATCGGCATCAGTCCGGACTAGTACAAGCAGCCACACACACACACATACACGTGCTCTCCGTCGCTATATAAGTGCAATAATCTTGGACACGACGTTAAACCCCACTTCACTTCACTAACCTCAGATATCAGACTGTGGCAAGGGATCCTATTGACACCTCGCTTATCAGTTAATTGAATCAGATGGAAAATATGTCATTCCGGAGTTAAACACGATAGCCTGCTCTTTTGTCATGTTTTCTGAGAGCCCAGAATGTTACCTTGCCTATTGTACGGGCAAGCATGCGGAAGGCTAGCTATTGTGTCGAGGAGAAAGACCGGTGGAGATGAATGGAAGCGGGGATCCAAGCAGTTAGTGAGCTGTGACACAGCTATGCCGCGCGCATCAAGCTGGAGGTGACGATATGCCGACACACACACGCTGTTATCTTAACAGTGGGCGGGGTGTGGTGTGGTGTTTGACAACAAATGAGCGCGTCCACCTGCGGGAAGGACAAGTTATGATCATCTGGGTCGGAGACAGAATGGCAGCTTCACACTGTCTGGACAGATACCCTTCCCATCTTGAATGTGCTGCTGCTGGAGAGGGTACAGCGCTGCGGTACAGCTTCACACTGTCTGGACAGATACCCTTCCCCATCCTGAATGTGCTGCTGCTGGAGAGGGTACAGCGCTGCGGTACAGCTTCACACTGTCTGGACAGATACCCTTCCCATCCTGAATGTGCTGCTGCTGGAAAGGGTACAGCGCTGCGGTACAGCTTCACACTGTCTGGACAGATACACTTCCCCATCCTGAATGTGTTTCTGCTGGAAAGGGTACAGCGCTGCGGTACAGCTTCACACTGTCTGGACAGATACCCTTCCCCATCCCGAATGTGGTGCTGCTGGAGAGGGTACAGCACTGCCGTACAGCTTCACACTGTCTGGACAGATACCCTTCCCCATCCTGAATGTGCTGCTGCTGGAGAGGGTACAGCGCTGCCGTACAGCTTCACACTGTCTGGACAGATACCCTTCCCCATCCTGAATGTGCTGCTGCTGGAGAGGGTACAGCGCTGCCGTACAGCTTCACACTGTCTGGACAGATACCCTTCCCCATCCTGAATGTGCTGCTGCTGGAGAGGGTACAGCGCTGCCGTACAGCTTCACACCGTCTGTTGTCTTACTTGATTGTGGTGTTACCTTCCTGTAGTGTGACTTCGGAGTTACGATATGATGAAATAAACCAAGTCACAGAGTTTTGCCACCCGATAAACCGCGACAGCTGCGGCGTTAAACATTAATCACGCACTCACTGACCACTCTGTCCCTTAAGTCGCCCCTTACATCCAGTGTAGGCTGCAGAGGACGTAGTCTTACCCGGAATCTCCAGGTGGCGGACCTGTGTTGTACTTGGTGGAGTTTATGACATTGAATAGCCTGCACTGTAATATGTGTCGCGCAGTGTTGACGAATGTCTCCAGTTTATGACCGGCTCGTGGGTAGCGGGAATATAATCAGCTGGAGATGTTTATCTGGTTACCTCATGTGTGGTAAATCACACTTCACATGAGTCACCACTTGGGGTAGACTTGCTCCGTCCGTGTACCAGTGCTCTCTCGTACTCCCTGTCTCTGTAGGTTTCCTTTTCCTTACGATACACTTTAACGATATTATATGCCATGATACGATACATATATTGACAGTAAAGTCGAGATACGATGCCCATCTTGACAGTAAAGTCGAGATACGATGCCCATCTTGACAGTTTTTGACAGTAAAGACGAGATACGATACATATCTTGACAGTAAAGCCGAGATACGATACATATCTTGACAGTAAAAACATCACAACGGTGTACATCTTGACAGTAAAGCCCGGATACGATATATCTTGACAGTAAAGCCGCGATACGATACATATATTGACAGTAAAGCCGTTATACGATATATCTTGACAGTAAAGCCGTAATACGATACATATTTTGACAGTAAAGCCGTAATACGATACATATCTTGACAGTAAAGCCGTAATACGATACATATCTTGTTAGTAAAGCCGTGCTACGTTACACATCTTGTTAGTAAAGCCGTGCTACGTTACACATCGTGTTAGTAAAGCCGTGCTACGTTACACATCGTGTTAGTAAAGCCGAGCTACGTTACACATCTTGTTAGTAAAGCCGTGCTACGTTACACATCTTGTTAGTAAAGCCGTGCTACGTTACACATCGTGTTAGTAAAGCCGTGCTACGTTACACATCGTGTTAGTAAAGCCGTGCTGCGATACACATCTTGTTAGTAAAGCCGTGCTACGTTACACATCTTGTTAGTAAAGCCGTGCTACGTTACACATCGTGTTAGTAAAGCCGTGCTACGTTACACATCGTGTTAGTAAAGCCGTGCTACGTTACACATCTTGTTAGTAAAGCCGTGCTACGTTACACATCGTGTTAGTAAAGCCGTGCTACGTTACACATCTTGTTAGTAAAGCCGTGCTACGTTACACATCTTGTTAGTAAAGCCGTGCTACGTTACACATCGTGTTAGTAAAGCCGTGCTACGTTACACATCTTGTTAGTAAAGCCGTGCTACGATACACATATTGTTAGTAAAGCCGTGCTACGATACACATCTTGTTAGTAAAGCCGTGCTACGTTACACATCGTGTTAGTAAAGCCGTGCTACGATACACATCGTGTTAGTAAAGCCGTGCTACGTTACACATCGTGTTAGTAAAGCATGCATTATACGATGCGCATCTTGTTAGTAAAGCCGTGCTACGTTACACATCGTGTTAGTAAAGCATGCATTATACGATGCGCATCTTGTTAGTAAAGCCGTGCTACGTTACACATCGTGTTAGTAAAGCATGCATTATACGATGCGCATCTTGTTAGTAAAGCCGTGCTACGTTACACATCGTGTTAGTAAAGCATGCATTATACGATGCGCATCTTGTTAGTAAAGCATGCATTATACGATGCGCATCTTGTTAGTAAAGCATGCATTATACGATGCGCATCTTGTTAGTAAAGCATGCATTATACGATACACATCTTGTTAGTAAAGCATGCATTATACGATGCGCATCTTGTTAGTAAAGCATGCATTATACGATGCGCATCTTGTTAGTAAAGCTTGCATTATACGATGCGCATCATGTTAGTAAAGCATGCATTATACGATACACATCTTGTTAGTAAAGCATGCATTATACGATGCGCATCTTGTTAGTAAAGCATGCA